CCACTAACACTTATCATTTCCTGTTTTTTTTTAATCTTAGACATTCTGACTGGGGTTAGGTGGTATCCCATTGTTGTTTTGATCTGCATTTCTCTTACGATGAGGGATGTTGAGCATTTTTTCATATGCCTTTTGGCTATTCATATTTAATCTTTTTTTTTTTTTGAGAGGTTTTTGCTATAAGGTGAGTGCACTCGCCAGAAAGACAAAGAGAGACAGAAAGCGAGAAATCACATCCCAGGGGGGATGGCCACGCCACAATCCCTTCTCCTCCATTCTCCTCTTAGGATCTTGGGCACACATGCACACGCGCCCGGCATGAGTTTAAGCTGCTGGGTCTGGAACTCGAACCACGGTCGACTACATGGGAGTTCAGCGACATAGCCATTATGCTAACTGCTGGTCCCCGTATGTCATCTTCAGAGAATGTTTTTTCAACTCATTCTCTCATCTTTTAATAGGGTGATCATTTTTTTTTCCAAATAGCTGCTTGAATTCCTTGTGTATTATCATTATCAGTCCCCTATCTGATGCATAATTTACAAAAATATTTTCCCATTCTGAGGGCTATCTATTCACACTAATTACTGTGTCTTTTGTCATGCAGAAACTTCTTAGTCTGATGTAAATTCTTACTTGTATATACTGGGGATTATCGACTGTGTTGTGGGGGTCTTATTTAAGAAGTCTTTGCCTACCCCAATATCTCCCAGAGTTTCCCCTGTGTTTTTAAGAAGCAGTTTTAAAGGTTGAGGTCTTAGATTTAGAGCTTTAGGTGAGAGGTAGGGGTTTAGATTTATCTTTCTGCAGGTGGAAATCCAGTTTTTCCAGCACCATTTGCTGAAGAGGTTGTTTTTTTCCCACTGGATTGACTGGTACCCCTTGTCAAAAATTAGTTGACTGTATGTTTGGGGATTTATTTCTGGTGACTCTATTCTGTTCCATTGGTCCACATGTCTGTTTCTGTGCCAATATCATGCTGTTTTGATTACCACAGCTTTGTTGTATATTTTTGGGTCAGGGAGTGAAATACTGCCCACTCCACTCTTCTTGTGTAGAATTGCTTTGGCAATATGGGGTCTTTTATGATTCCAGGTAGATTTTATGATTGCCTTTCTTAGATCTGTAAAGAATGTGTCTGGTACTTTGATTGGCATTCATTTAATATGTAGATTTATTTGGGTAGAATTGCCATTTTGATTATATTAGTTCTTCCAATCCTGGAACTTGGGATGCCCTTCCACTTTTGGGTCATTTTCAATTTCTTTTTTTAGCTTCTCGTAGTTTTCCTTGTGGAGGCCCTTAACTTATTTGGTTAGATTTATTCCTAATTATCTTATACTTTTTGTGGCTATGGTAAATGGAATAACTTTATTCAGTTCTCATTCTGCTTGTTGTTCATATATAAAAAATGCTATAGATTTCTGTATGTTGACCTTGTATCCTGCAAGGCATTTGTGTATTACTTCCAGAAATTTTATCATGGAAACCATTGGGTCTTCTATGTATACAATCATGTCATCTGTGAATAGAGAGAGTTTCACCTCTTATTTCCCTGTTTAAATGTCTTTTATTTTTTTCCTCTTTTCTGATTGCATTGGCAAGGACTTCCAGTACTATATTGAAAAGGAGTGGAGAAAGTGGGCATCCTTGTCTTGTACCCATTTTTAGTGGGAAAGATTTCAGCAGGTCTTCATTAAGGATGATGTTCACTATGGGTTTTTCATAGATAGCTTTTTTTGTGTTAAGAAATGACCCTTTTTTTTCCTGTTTTTTTTTTTAATTTTTACTATCATCATAATCTTCTTTATATTACATTGGATTACATATAACTTTACAGTGTATTACATTGTTTTTTCAAAAGGGAATGCCATGCATGTCAGTCAGTACAGAGACATTAATGCCATTTTTGCTGAGACTCTTGATCATGAAGGGATGTTGTATCCTATTGAATGCTTTTTCTGCATCAATTGATATGACCATATGGTTATTATCTTTCTTCCTGTTAATCTGGTATATTACATTTATTGGTTTTTTGTATGTTGAACCAACCCTGCATTTCTGATTACTAAACTTTGTAGTACATTTTTGGGTTAGAGAGTGAGATGTCACCACTCCTCCCTTCTTGTGCAGGATTGCTTTGGCAATATGAGGTCTTTCATGATTCCAGACAAATTGTATGATTGTCTTTTCCAGATCTCTGAAGAATGTCTCTGGCACTTTGCTTGGTGAATATGTAGATTAACTTGGATAGAATTGCCATTTTGATTATATTTATTCTTCCCAGGAACATGGGATGTCCTTCCACTTTTTTGTGTCATTTTCATTTTCTTTTTTTATCTTTTCATAGTTTTCCTTGTGGAGGGCTTTAACTTCTTTGGTTAGATTTATTTCTAGGTATCTTCTACTTTTTGTGGCTATCATAAATGGAATTACTTTTTTGTTCTATCTCCATCTGCATGCTGTTTGTATTTAGAAATGCTGTATATTTCTGTGTGTTGAATTTGTATCCTGCAACTTTACTGTATTCATGTATTACTTCTAGAAATTTTTTCATGGATATCATTGGGTCTTCTATGTATACCATCATGTCATCTGCAAATAGAGATAGTTTCACTTTTTTTCCTATTTAAATGCCTTTTATTTTATTCTCTTGTCTGATTGCATTGGTGTGGACTTCCATTTCTATATTGAAAAGGAGTGTAGAAACTAAGTAAGTGGTTGTGAATACCAGATAGTGTGGGAAGAGGGCTGGTGAAGGAGTAGAGAAAGGTAAGTTTATAGTATAGTGAACTGGTGAGAAATGTACACTTGTTGGCATATTTAAAAAATAATAAATAAAAATTTAAACATAATAATAGAAAATAAAGTGCACAGTTGAAAAGTTTGGCTTGTGAGTATACACGTGAAACCATCACTACCATCCAGAAAGTGAAGATGCTCATCGTCTCCCAAAATTCTCTTTTGCTCCCTCTTCATCATTGCCTCTGCCTCTTGCCATGTACACCTCCCCAGGCAGTCACTGATGTGCTGTCCCTATGTTAGTTTGCATTTATAGTTCTATGTTAATGGAATCATAAAGTAAGTAGTCTCTCACGACTGGCATCTTTTACTCAGTATTTTTATTTTGAGATTCCTGCACATTATTGTGTGTATCAATAATTCCTTTTAGGGGTCAGCAGATGGTGTTATGGTTGGGTCATTGGACTCTTAAGTAGTTGACTGAGGTTTGAATCCCGGACTCAGTGGCTTAAATTGATGTTGGGCAGGTGTGCGTGCATGCCCAATATCCCAAGAGGAGAATGAAGAAGATATTGAGGTATGGCCATCCCCCCTGGCGGGTGATTTCTTGTTTTGTGTCTTTCTTTCTCTTCTTGTCTCTCTGGCGAGTGTGGGTGCCCTATAGTAAAATATCTCTCTATAAATAAATAAATAATTCATTTTTATTTCTGATTATTGCATTTTAAGAATGTACTACAGTTTGTTTATCCACTTGTGTTATTTTTCCAGCTACCTCAAGATATAATTGACAAATAAATAGTATATGTGCAATGTGTACAATGTGATGAATCTTATATACATGTACATTGTAAAACGATTACCAAAATAGTGTTAATTAACACATACATTATCTCACACAGTTATTACTCGTGTGTTGCATGTGTGTGTATGTGTGAAACGAGAATGCTTAAGGCCTTCTAAATTATTAAATTTCAAGTATACAACACTGTATTATTCACTTATTGTGGAATTTTATCAAACTTTAGCAGATTTTTCTACAGAAATTCAAGTTTACATTAATAGTCACTATGCTGTACATTAGTACATTAGTATAGAACCCATTCATTTTATAACTGAATATTTGTACCATCTAAATTTTAAGTCTTTAATCCATTTTGAGTTGTCTTGTATAAAGGGTGAGATAAAGATCCACTTTCTCTGTTTCTTTTTCTTTTCCACTTCTTTTCTATTCAAATTTTTTCATAAGTGTTTTTTTTTTTTTTTTTTTTTTTTGCCGGGGGGGGGTTTTTTCTATAGGGCACATGCACTGGCCAGAAAGACAGAGAGAGACAGAGAAACAGAAAGCGAAGAATCACTCCCCCCGCCCCGGGGGGGAAGGCCATGCCACAATCCCTTCTCCTCCATTCTCCTCTTGGGGCTTTGGCCATGCACGCACACATGTCTGGTATTAGTTAAGCCACTGGGTCCAGGACTCGAACCACAGTCGACTACATGAGAGTATAGCGACATAGCCATTATGCCAACTGCTGGTCCCTGTTCATAAGTATTTTTAAATGATTTTTTTGGATGCTATAGTGAATGGTATTGTTACCTTGATTTCATTTTTTGGATTGTTATCTGTATAAACATGCCATTGCTTTTTGAATGTCAATTTTGTGCCCCATGACATTATTGAATTTGCTTAGTTAATTCGTTCTAATAATATACATAAAATCATACCTGCAAACAGATCATTTCACTTTTCCCTTTCTTATTTGGATTTTTTATTTCTTTAGCTTTCCTTCTTGCTTTGGAAAGGACTTCCAGTACTCTGTTGACTAGAAGAAGGAAGAATAAGCATCTGGTCTTGTCCTTGATCTTAGAGAAAGAAATTTGAACATTTCACCATGAAAAATGATGATAACTCTCAGTTTGTGGCCTTTATGGTGTTGGCATACATTCCTTCTGTGCCTAATTTGTTCAGAGTTTTTACCTTGAAAGGATGTACAGAGAAGAAAAGGTACTCTCTTCAATAAATTATTTTAAAAACCAAGGAAGGTGGTTCTGTGCACATTTATCACTACATACAATTTAACACAATTCAGTCACACCAACTAACCAAAGAGAGTCAAAAAAACATAACTGCACTCACATATGACGGAGATTTTGCTAACATGCTAATAAATAGGTCTTATTTTAAGAATTCTGGTCATAGAAAGACAGACATAAGAGGAGTGCTGGCTGGAAAAACAGCTTGACATTCTCCATCTAACCTCTACCTAACCTCTGTAAAAGGAGAAGAGTCTCCACAGTGCATGCTTGACCTCCTTGTTCCTCAGAGTATAGATGAGGGGGTTCAAGGTAGGGCTGAGCACTGTGTAGAGCACTCCAAACACTTTGCTTCTCTCTGGACTGTAGCTAGAGGCTGGGCTGATGTAGGCACAGAACACAGATGAGTAGAACATAGAGGCCACAATGAGGTGGGAGGAGCAGGTGGAGAAGGCCTTCCACTTCCCCTTGGCTGAATGGATGTGCATGATACTGGAGATGATGCAACCATAGGACATAAGTGTTAGTAGGAAGTTTATGCCACCATAGAAAGTGTCTGACAAGACAGTCATGATGCTGTTCACATGCGTAGGGCTACAGGAGAGTAGCAGAAGTGGGGGGATCTCACAGAAAAAGTGATTGATGACATTGGGGCCACAGAACGACAGTCTCATTATCAGACCAGTGTTGATAGAGGCATTCAGGGCACAGATGCCCCATACACCCATGGCCATTGTCCCACACAGGCGAGGGCTCATCCTGGAGCTATAGTGCAGGGGGGAACAGATGGCCAAGTAGCGGTCATAGGCCATGACCGTGAGCAGTAGCAGTTCAGAAGATCCGGACCAGACAAGAAAGAAGATCTGGAGCATACACCCCTGGAAAGAGATGGTGTTTTCTTTAGAGTTCAAGCCAACCATCCCCTTGGGTAGCACAGAGGAGATACAAACAATGTCCATAGTGGCCAGGTTACACAAGAAAAAGTACATGGGGCTGTGTAGGCCAGCACTGCAGCTGACCACAGTGATGATCACAGCATTGCCCATGAGTGACATAGTATAGAGGGAGAGGAAGCAGCCAAGCAGGAAAACTCGCAGCCCAGGGTACTCTGAGAATCCTTGTAGCACAAATTCAGTCACTAGTGTCTGGTTAGGACTCATCATTGAGCCTGTAATGTCTCCTAGGCCCTGCTCCATGGATCCACTTCTATGAGAAGAGAAAACAGGGCATGCACTTTAAATTTAGGTTTTTACATGTGACTGTCCTAAAACACCATTAAAAAGAGCTTGTTTTTTTTTTTTTTTTTTTTTTTTTCTTAGGGGCCCAGCCCCCCTTTTTTTGCTATAGGGCGCATGCGCTCACCAGACAGACAGACAGACAGAGAGATGGAGAGATAGAAAGCGAGAAATCACCCCCCAGGGGGGATGGCCACACCATGATCCCTTCTCCTCCATGCTCCTCTCGGGATCTTGGGCACGCATGCACACGCGCCTGGCGTCTTTTAAGCCACCGGGTCTGGGACAGGAACTGCGGTCAACTACATGGGAGTCCAGCGACATAGCCATTACGCTAACTGATGGTTCCAGAACTTGTTTTCTTTATGGAAGCATCTGTCTTTTAACCTTTTCCCTAAACTCTTCTGAAATCCATATATCTTCCATTTCTTTTTTCTTTCACTTTCTACCTTAATTTCCACCTTGATTCCTTATTCTCTAGATTCATGTTTTCTGTGGGACTGAATCATCTTTTTATTTTCTTCTTTATTTATTTTTTACATTAATTCACTATACATTATTACAGCATACAAATGAATTTTCCATCCAAAATACACTGTATATTGGCTCAATCA